TTTTCTTTGTTAAATGGCATTTAAATATATAAAATAAATATCAAAAATATAAGTCTTTGTTTTACTATGGTTGCAAATATCAAATAATTTCTATATGTGACACGGCACCAGAGTTAAGTTAGGGTTTTTCAAAATGCTGACACGCCGAACTCAAAAGGTTCGCTATCACTGGCCTAGGGAGATCGGGGCACGAGATGGACGACAGAGAGGACCGCCCCGAGGACGCTCTCCCCCACGAAGGGCCAGAAGCCGGGCACCCGAGGGCGGGGTATGGGTGCCGCGGCATGGAACACGTCAACCCGCGTGAGGGTCTGCCGCGCGTCAGCCGTGTGGTCGCGGGCAAGCTGCTTCCCCTGCCTCAGTTTCCCCTCCTGCCAGCGGGGCTGCAGAGGCGCGAGCAAGTGCAGAGCATCCAGGGTCCCGGTGCCGGTCCGCAAAACGGGGCGGGAGGCAGTAGCCAGTAGGCAATCGAGTAGGTGTACAGGCGGCAGGTGGTGGGAGGTGTGGGCGGGACTAAAGGCGGGTCACAGGTGTGTGCGGGCCACAAGTGTGTGCGGAGCTGTGTTCTCTGGGGCTGGCAGGCGGGGCTCTGCTAGGAGGCCATCACAGGTCGGATCCCAGGACGTGGCCGCACCTGCACTTTGGAGTAGGGTGTTCCTCGCCCTGTGCAGAGATGCGGGGGAGGACGCCGCGTGGCTGGGCGCAGGGAGAAGCTGAGCTGCCAAGCAGAGGCCCCTGGGCTGTGGCCAAACGCGTGGGAAGCTCTGATGGGTAAGAGAGCCCCTCAGAGTCGTCCCCCTGGGCAGGAATGGCCCAACCCTGTACTCCTGCCCCCATCAGCCATGGGACACCCATCAGCCACGGGACACGGGTCATCCTTGCAAGGGCATGGCCTTGGCTAGGCCGCTGTCCAACCAGGCGGCCCTGGAGAGGGGTGGGCAGCTGCAGGTGCCTGCAGGACCCCGCGTCCTACATCTGGGGTGTCCGGGGTCTGCGTGGCACTTCTCTGTGTTCCTTGCAGAGACCTTTGTTTTTTTCTGCAGTTTTTTTTATTTTGAAAAAAATGTCAAACAAACCAACCTGTTGAATATACACGAAAGGGAAGCCCATCTACGGAGATTCAGCAGACGTCTTCATTCCTCTCCCCTCTGTGTATGTGTGTACCGCCCCCCCCACTCCCCCCTGAAGGATGAATTAGCTGCAGGTGATACCGCCCTCCTAAACACATCAGCACCCATCTCCTAAAACGAGGGCCTTCTTCTGTATGACTGGAATAGAGTGGCACGCTCTGGAAATTACCATCAGTGCAACGCTAGCATCTGATATCTTGTCCGTATTCAGTGTCCCCACTGTCCCCGTGAGGTGCTTGCTAGCTTTTCTAAAAAAAACCCCCGGGATCCTACCAGGAAACCACGGGTGCATTTCGTGGTCATGGCTCCTGAGCCTGCCTTCATCTAGAGCGGGGACCCCGTCTTCTTAACCTGCTTTGTTGCATCTTCTCGGTCCTCCGTGACAGGACAGTGTAAAGAGCCAGTGTTTGTTGCTGTCTCTCGCTTGGGGTTTGGCCGTGTTCCTCGCCCTTGCATTGAGGTTGTGCACTTCGGGGCAGGGTAACTGCTACACAGACGGTGTCGTGTCTCCATGCATCATGGCAGGAGGCAGCGCGATGCCCCTCTGTCCCACCGCCGAGGGTCAGTTGGGTTGCGTGGTTCAGGTGGTTGGTGCCAGGTGTCTCCGTGATTAATAAGTAATCTGTGGAGTGACACTTTGAGACCAGGTCAACCTTTCACCCAGCCACCTGGCAATTAATGACGGCTCTTGCCAGCTACTGAATCACAAAGTCTCTTTTTCCCTCACCAGGGACACTTAGGAGCAAATCATTTCTCTAGGTGAGACCAAGCATGTCAAACTCACAGGCTACCACGGGCCAAATACACAAGGTTTAAGTGGATGTGGCTGCAAAAAAACAAAAGCTTCCATTTTCATAGAAACGTCGGTTTATTTCGATAGAGACATGTTGAATACAAATAAATGAGTCATCATTAACATAAAATAATAGAACATTTTAATAAAAATCAATATTTTTTCTTGAACATTCACTTACCAGACACTGAATAACTGCACAAAGGAATAAGCCTCACACAAATAAACCTATTTTTCTGTTTCTCCGAAAGCGAAATATTTCCTGTTGCGCACACCCAACAAGTCAGTACTAGACTAATGACGTGGTCATCGGCTGCTAAAATTTTTGCTGATGGTATTAGTGGAGAGAAATGGTGCGCTTGCGGGTAAGGTTCGTAAGGAAAATGAATGCAACATGATCATAATCATCAGTCGCTAGCGAACGTTGTAGTTCATTATTAATAATGATGTATAAGAGGATATTGTAAAAACTAAGTTTAAAAGTTTTTATTAAAACGTTTCTTACATACCGTTTTATTGACTGGGCCGCAAAAACATTCCTTGTGGGCCGCATGCGGTCCGCGGGCCACGAGTTTGACATGCTTGCTGCAGACAGTCCTGGCCCCTCTTCAATGGCATTCCTTAAAGATGAAACCGACCAGAGACCGACCCGCCCCCTACCCTCATTTCCGTGGGTCCACCAGGACCCCAGTGAAGACTCTGCCGAGCCCTCCCGAGGCCTCCCCGGGGCTCCCACCGGGAGAGAGAAACCCCAGGACAGAGGAGCCGCTCCCCCCTAAGGACGCCTCCCCTCGGCTGGACTCTTGACTGTCTTTCCCCGGAA